AAAAATGGGGGTGCCCGGCTTATGCAAATGAAGCCCGGGATTTGAATTTCCCGGGCTTCATTTGCAAGTGCGGTATGCCTACATTACCCCGCTAGTTCGAACTAGCGGGGTAGTGTAGACATACCCTGAGGGATATAAGGGGTAACAAGAAAAAACATTATAATATATTATAAGCAAGAGAAGACCAACAACAAGGTCAACCCATTACCAAAGGAGGAATGAAAGGCAGAAATAACAGAAATAACAAAAAATGGCAAAAGTGTTTAAATGCCTTTTGTGTTTCAGTTTTCACCAGAAAGGTTAGCAGTGTTTGAACGACTGATCTAGTGAACAATGATGCAAATGAAGTAGATCTGAGGCTAAAATAGAAAAGAACAAGATAAGAATTACTTAGATAAGAAAGATGCCATCAAGTTGGCAGAGCCTGACTTAATATATCCTAGAATACTTAAGGAACTAGCCAAAGAAACTTCTGAGTCATTAGCATTTATCTCGGGCATGTCTACATAGTAACTAGCCTCTAAATTCGGCACCTCCCACTCAAGATTTGAGAAACCTGAACTGTCATGTCATGCCAGAGGTGAGGCTGGTCCTTTGTCTCTTACCACCAGGTTCTCAAGAAAAGGTGGGAGTATATTAACCAACGCTTTATAGAAATAATACCATCTAGACCTTTAGAATAATAATTCTGCATTTGTAACCCTGCTTTATTTTACATTTGATTGCTATTTGATTACTATTCTATATATCTTAATAAAGTTTTAAGTTCATTTTTGTCTCAATTTGAGCATCCTGTCATAGCCCGAGGGGTCTTTCACATATTCTGTGTAGCCTGATTCTGGGACAAGAAGCTTATTATCTTCTGATCAGATTAATTGCTGATCCTATAATCCACACTATCCACATTAATATTGTTAATCTCTTAAATCAGGCAACAATCTGTGCTGAGCATACTGTAGCTCGGGGCTGAAGACACTCAGCCGGAATCAGGCACCGGAACTGGGAGTAGGGTTACTAACACTCTCAAAGCTCCCACTTCTGGCTCCCAGGCAATATAGAGGAGAAGCAGACAGCAGCCTGAGTCAAATGCAGAGGGGTGAGCACCTGGGCCATAGGGGTGGTGAGAGAAGAGGGGGAGGCACAGGGAAACTGGATGAAGTGATGAGGGTGAAGATGAGGCTCTGGAGAGGCTGGTCCTCATACAGGTGGACAACCTGCCATTGCCATCAGCTAACTCACTAGCTCAAGTGATGGTTCTGTGAGCAGAAGGTTCTAACCCTGCTAATCAACTATATGAGAGTCCTCATGGTTCCATATAATGGACAGGCCCTTACAAATATTAAGAAATTACATACAGCCATTTCAGTAAAAGGAAATTCCAGAATTAACCTTGCGGTGTAACCTTAATTCAGCCACTAATTCACAATATGCAGATGCATTATGATGACACTGTCTATAACTACATGACAACATACTATTTCACCTTTATTATTGACCCCTGCCTCGTTCAGTGCACAGGGTGGATGTGGTTCACTGAATGAGCAGCTGTGTAATATTTTGCTATATCCACATAGTTCGATATGTGACCCAAGGCCTTACTTATTATGCACTGAAGACAAAATACTTTGTGTCTGTGCACATACGCCCACACACACTCTTGGTATATACGTATAGGCTACATCCAGACTGGCCCCTATTACGAAATAGCCATGCTAATTTCCAACTTTGGAATAGGGAAATCCGCGGGGGATTTAAATATCCCCCGCGGGATTTAAATAAACATGTCCGCCGCTTTTTTTCCAGCTTGGGGAAAAGCCGGAAAAAAGCGTCTAGACTGGCGCGATCCTCTGGAATAAAGCCCTTTTCCGGAGGATCTCTTATTCCTACTTTCAAGGCTTATCAAGGATCTCTTATTCCTACTTTTCAAGGATCTCTTATTCCTACTTTCAAGTAGGAATAAGAGATCCTCCGGAAAAGGGCTTTATTCCGGAGGATCGCGCCAGTCTAGACGCTTTTTTCCAGCTTTTCCCCAAGCCGGAAAAAAAGCGGCGGACATGTTTATTTAAATCCCGCGGGGGATATTTAAATCCCCCGCGGATTTCCCTATTCCAAAGTTGGAAATTAGCATAGCTATTTCATAATAGGGGCCAGTCTAGACGTAGCCATACAGAGTAGTATTTCCCAAATGGTGTTCCACGGAACCCTGGGGTTCCATGAAGCGAAAATAAGGGTTCTTTGAGAAAATTCCATTACAATAAAATTTTATGATTAAAAAAATAATAATAATTAATATTTAAGCATTTATGAATTTTATTGAAAACAATTTTCATTTGTGTTTGCCACGATAAGTGTCCTTGTATAATGCCAGCTTAGCCAGAGAGTGATATTAGACTGTTATTAGAGGTTCTGCAATTTTTTTTCGAGTTTAAAAGGGTTCTGACCAAATAAAATTGGGAAACACTGATATAGAGCATATTATGATTGTGCTTTCTCTGCCGTCCATGTACCTATTAGCAATCATCTCCTTGGTGAATCAGCAAGCAGCAGAGTGAACTAATCTAAAAAAAAGGAGTTGAACTGAAACCATGTAAAGAAATAATAAAAGACAACTTGTTTTAAAAGGGGCCTGGCAATATGATAAAGAGTTTTGCTGTTATGCAGAGTCGCTGCTAGGGTCCCCAGAGCTACCTGTAGACACTTCATGGGCGTTGTGAACAGGGAGTCCCAATCTCCGTTCCCCAAAGCTTTGCTAAATAGGGACAAATGGCATGGCAGTGTTATTGCCCATGTGATGTTACAGACTGTTAAGGCTGCCCTAAAGAGCTCTGAATCTCATTTGTTTCTGCAAGACACAGGTGTGGAAGAAAATTCCCCTCCCCCATGAGGAAAAATACACAGACATACACAATCTGTCTGATTATCTCAGCCTCACTGCCCCTGCTTGTGCTGGTGTGCACTGTCTAGATTCTAACGAGAGACAGACAGAGGCGATATTACATGTCCCAAAAGGAAAGATCTGATTTAATTTTACAGGTTAGCCAGGGCCTTATTACATCACAAGCCACAAGTGATGCCATAAAGTCCAAGACTGATGGGGAGTAATAAATAACACTACAGAGGAACCCAAACAGTGAAGGACAAATAGTTTCCTCAGGTTTGGTGGTGTTGATGTATCCCCCTGGTACATGTGTGTCCCAGGTGCCACTCTGTATAATCAGGCCCTAAATTAGAGCCTGTCCCTGAAGACGCTTATTATTGGATGCATTGCTTACTATTAAGTAGTTCATTGATGTCAGGGGAACTGTTTATGGGAGTAAACACTGTACTCAGCAGTGTTTGCAGGAATTACCTATTCGTCATAAACCTGAGGGGGAAATTTTATGGATATGACTAGAAAATAATATTCTATATGCATTCTGAGTCATCATGTGCACTTTAATGAATCATCCTATAGAATTTAACAGAGAATTAATCCTTGCTCTATAGAGTGTTTTTTGAAGAATATCAAAAACCTGGAGAAAGGATTTCATTTTGTATAAAATTGAATAGGTTTTTAGAGTCATGCCTGTGGAACCCTATTACGTTTCTATAAATACCTACTGGTTAAAGCCCTATTAGTTCTATAGGGTCTATAGAAATTATAAAGTATGCAGTACACAAAGAGAATGGGAAGAGGATATGGGAGGTACAGAAACGTAACATCATCTAATATGCTTTACACTTAAATACACATCCTCACTCAGAGGGTATGTCTAGACTACATCCCTCTGCCGACAGAGGGATGTAAATTAGACACATCGAAATTACTAATGAAGGGGGGATTTAAATATCCCGTGCTTCATTACAATAAAAATGGCTGCCGCTAATTTTCCAGCAAAGGGCCGCTGCTTTTTGCCACCGCAACAATTTGCTGGCAAAAAGCGGCAGTCTAGACGGGGATCGGTTGGCAAGGAAAGCCTTTTCTGACCGACCCCTTATGCCTTGTGCAACGAGGTTTACAGGATCAGTCGGAAAAGGCTTTCGTTGCCGACCGATCCCTGTCTAGACTGCCACTTTTTGCCGGCAAATTGCTGCGTTGGCAAAAGACAGCAGCCATTTTTATTCTAATGAAGCGCGAGATATTTAAATTCCCACTTCGTTAGCAATTTTGGTATGTCTAATTTACATCCCTCTGGTGACAGGGATATAATCTAGACATACCCAGAGTTCTTTGTTTTCTTAGCTGGTGGATTATGTCTATGAAATGTTACAATGGGAGAAGCTGAGCCACCCCAAGAGCACCCAGACAAAGAACTGTGCTTCAGAGAGAGTTGTAATTTCATCTCTGCTCTACAGGGGGAATAATCTGTGCTAGACCTTTACTACTGGTTGGCGTTTGGAAAGGAGAGCAGCCAAGGCTTTTTGTTTCCCTCTGCCTGCCTGTAGATGAGGGGGAGGGGAAGGAACACGTGGCCCTGCAGACTAGCGGTGTGGGTACCATGCACATGGCAGTAGTAGAAGGGTTCTGTCTGTTATAGATCATCTAAAGACCCCTCAGGCTATAATACTTCATTCTTTTAGATCTGGAGACCCTTGGTTCCATCCCTAATTTGTTGCTCACGGCTTGGAGGGAAACCCCTCCCCATTGCCCACCAGCCTTGCCGCTGTGATACTCCCCACACACCACAAAGTCCTGCTCTGGCCCCCATCTCCTGCCCTGACTCCTGCACCCCCACATCTCCCTGCTCCCAGCCCCCATGCTGCCCACCCCCTGCCCTGAGTCCCCTGTCCTGCACCCCCACTCTCCTGCACCTTCCATCCCCTACTGAGTCCTGCACCTCCCAGCCCCTTTCCTGAGCCCCCGCCTCCTGCCCTGATTCCCCCACACACCTTCCAGGTCCCTGCCCTGACTGCTGCCCCTTTCCCCCCAAACGTGAGCCCCCACAAGGACCTGGGCTACACCAGGTAAATCCTCTAGTCATACATAAGCTTTGAAGGATACATAAAAGTGGCTCACTTACCCAGCACAGCCCTCCAGTGGCGATGACAAAGCAGACTGTGTCACCATTAAAGTATCAATTGGTAACTCCAGGGCTTGCTGAAGATCCCCAACCTGCTGAGCGTTGATTATAGCGCTGGCCAAGCTCTTCAACCTGTCACTTGGCCAGGAGGGGACATGTTCATTTCTCAAAAGGCCTGGTGCCTCTCCAATTTCAATGATCAGCACTCTTAAGGGGGCAGCCGACTGAGATGGCTGCAGAACCCGCATGCTTGCTGCTCCTGTCTGGGTTTTTCCCCAGACAGCCCTATTGCAAAAGGCTGAGCAAGATGTCACGGGAGGGCATTGACGACTCCTCTTGCTGACATTGTCTGCGATAACCTTTAATGTGTTCTCACTCCCTGACGCACTCTGAACTATCCGGACATCATCGTGTCCAATCTGTAAGAAATCAGCCAGGCGATGGACCACTCTTCTTTGACCCTCCTCTCCAATGGTCTCAGATATGGTAAAAGCAGCATGGAGGGAAAAGCCAGTATGTATTTCTATGGGGTCATCTCCATGAAGGAGGATGTAGAGAAGGTTGTTCTCAAAGCTGAAGTAGTGGGTGCCTGCCATGGCATTAGTTGAGAAAGAGCTGGAAGAAGATGAGACTAGTGGGATGTAATTCCCTTTGATGAAAACCTGAGAGCTGCGTGGTTCATCGTAGAAGATGGCGATGAGCAGTCTGGTAGAGTTTTGACCACTGATGAGGCGGAGTCTTAAGGTCGGAGGTGTTAGACAAGTGAAGCAAACCTTTGTCAGCCTGTTGGATGACAAGACTGAATAGAAAGCCTGTGGGTGGTCTGAGGGACAGCAAGATTCATGCAAAACTTCACTGCTGAAAGCCTCCACAAAACTGCCGGTCACTGACACCACTGAAGATGGCCTCCTTCTCTCAGTAGCACTGTCCAAACTTTCTAGGATCACCAGTGCATGGTCTGTGTCTTTGCAGTAGTAGCCTCGTGTAGTGGGCTTGAAGATGCACTTGGTGTCGTCTCTGTAAATGCCTGTTTAACAACAAATAAACAAAGGGATGTGTTGTACCTGCTTATTTGCATGGCACACCGTCCAGTGTTGATGCTGGTATGACTGATAATGCAAGGACTTGTTTCTCTAAGATGTGTTGGCAATGAACATATACAAAGGCAGCAAAATTGCCATGAATGTGGTATTCTTTGTGAACCTTTTAGGTTTCATATCTATTACCACCTTGCTTTCCCCTCTCCTCTCCCTAGCAATCTTTTGAACTGAGGTGCATTGTGCCACAAACATAGCCCATAGTAAGGGGCAGCACATTGCTGTGCAGTTCAGGGAATTCCTAGGGAATTAATTGTTGTCCCTGTTCCTTACTTTGCTACAGGGAAGAAGAAATTTGGTACTGCAGTGAATTACTACCCTCTTCCTTCCTGCTCTTGCATTAGATAGCTGTGCTGGCCAGCCTTTTGCTTCCCACCCATCTGCTCTGGAAATGAGGTATGCAGTGCCCTTACTGAACTATGTTAGGTCCAAACATAGTATCCTTCACTAGGCATAAAGTTAAGGATCTTTTTCCCCTTTACATCCCTGCATAAATGTGCAGTTTGAGCTATCACCTAGCCCACTGAAAAAAGGACACGTCTATACTTACTGTGTCAGAGATTGATCTTCTGGCATTTGATTTAGCTGGTCTAGTAAGGAACTGCTAAATCAAATGCTGAGGGCACCCTCTCCCCCGGTTGGTGCCAGTGCTCCTCGATTCACGGTATGTCAACTCCAGCTACGGGTACAGCTAGACTACACATTTTTGTTGGAAAACGGTATGCAAAATGCGCTTTGCATTTTACGTACTCTTTTCCAATTCTTTTGTCAGAAGAGGCCTTTCCGACATTTGGCCTGTCTAGACTGGGCTAAATGTCAGAAAAAACCCCTCTTTTGGAAGCCCCTTTCTTCCTCATAGAATGAGGAATACAGGGGCTTCTGAAAGAGCGCATTTGCTCTTCCGCAAAAAAAAAAGTGAAAGAGCAAACACGTTCCCTGGACGTGCTGGAGTTTTTTTGGGATACCTCTGGTGTCCCAAGCCACCCTTCCCCCCGCAGTCTAGCCATATCCTATGTTATTTATGTAGCTGGAGTTGTATACCTTAAGCCGACCTTCCAGGTGTAATATAGACCTGGCCTCAGAGAGAATAGCCATGTTAGTCTGTATCTGTAAAAACAATAAAGAGTCCTTAAAGACTGGGGTACGTCTACACTGAGGGCCAAAGTTGAATTACGATTCACAACTTCAGCTATATTAACTGCATAACTGAAGTCGAAGTACCTTAACTCAGCTTTTGGTGCTGTCTATACTGCAGGAAGTCAAAGGAAGTGCACGCTTCCCTCAACTTCCCATACTCCTCGTGAAATGAAGTTTACAGAAGCTGGAGTGAGAAGGCCATTATTTTAAAATAATTTTGAAATAACGGGCTTGCTGTGTAGACTAGTGCTGTTATTTCGAAATGATGTGAGTTATTTTGAAATAACACTGCTGTGTAAACATGCCCTAACCAATTTGTTAGGGCATACGTTTTTGTGGATAAAAAAACCACTTCATCATATGCATCTATTAACGTATTTTTAATCATTAAAGCTTATGCCCAAATAAATCTGTTAGTCTTTAAGAAGCCACAGGACTCTTTGTCATTTCTAACCCACTGTGTTCAGCTTCTTGGCTTCTGAACAACATTACAAAATTAAGGGAAAATAAGATAATATCTAAAAAAAAAAAAAGATTGTTAGAGGCATAAAAGAAGAAGCTGAAACCAGTAGGGTAATTTAGCCTTAAAGAAGCTCTTTGTTGAAGTATATGAAGAATAGGACAATGAAACCTATAGAGTACTCCTCTTCGCCTTCCCTCACAGCCTGAGATTAAGGAGACTCTTGCTGCTAGGCCACACATACAAAGGAAGAAAAGGAAGTGGCACTTTGTTGAGCAAAGAGTAGCACTCCAGAACTCCCGCTACAGGATATCATAAAGGCTAATAACGAAGTAGGACTGCCACATATCTTCATGTAGAAGCCATCCTCTGTTTGTTTAATGGCTGCTTTGATCCTGCAAACCCTTACATAAGTCGATGGGACATGACTCAGGTAAAGTCACTCAGGTGTAGGAGTATTTTCTGGACAAGCCCTGCAGCGGCACACACCATAAAGGAAAATGATGAAATTACATTGACATCAGCCTTCTTTAAATGTGGTCAGGAAATGAGGAGCAAGTGAAATTAAAATCAGGCCCACTGCATGGGAACAGCTATTTTTAGGTATCCAGCTACCGTATTCTTTTCCAGCTTCAGCAGCACAACCACTTTATCAATAATGGGGGAGGAGGGAGAACAGCGGCTTCATTTAGATAGCAGAAATAGAAGAGCTGCATAAAACATTTTTTTTATATTCGAGAGCACAAGGAACATGCTCTGAACAGCGGGCAACCCATAAAGCCTGACAGATCTCATCATTTGCTCTCCTGGAAACAGCCGAGTCATCCCCCTCCTTTCTGGTGACATTTCGCTTGTCGCCAGATAGGCCTTGCTTGTATTTTGTCATCCCCAGGTTGGTCCTTTCCTCTGCTCCTTTTCTATTGCGAGCTGGTTTGTGGTGCTTAGTTGGTTCTCTGAGCTCCCTGCCTCCTCCCCCCATACACCCTCCCTCCCTTTCTTCCAAATGGCCTTATCTGCCCGTCACAATTGCTGTGGCCTGCAATTTCGATCACTTTTAAATGAAACCCATGCTGGCCTAGGTAATCATAATGTCATTTACAATTTACCACAAAACACGTTTATTCAGTTAGTAGCACACTGGAGAAAGAGAACTCCATATGAACTCGCCACTGAAGGCCTAATCTGATTATTTCCTCATGAAAATCCAAGCAGGGGTGCTTGTAAAAAGGGGCTGAAAGGAGAAGGGAAAAGGGAGGCCTGGTCACAGCTGACTCTCCTAATCAATGCGAACAGATAAGTGACATGCTGTGTCAAGGGCAGCAGCTAATCTGCCCCAGGGCTTTCCTCTAAAAAAGGCCAGAGTGGACAGGACTTAATAAATACTGAGTGACCACTGAATATTGAGCTGGCGTGCTATTTACATTGGAGATGAACAATAACGGTGATAAATTCCAGAAGCGCTCCTTCTAAATGGCTGGAATTAGATTAAGTGTGTGTTTGTGTGTGTTTGAGAGCGAGAGAGACAGACAGAAAGACTGAGAAAGCAACAGACCTGTGAGTGCATCTCCGTGTTATAGAGAGAGAAGTCAGTGTGTGAGAAAGTGGACACGTGTTTGTGCGCATGTGTGAAACACAGAGAAATTGGGGGAGGGCGCTTGTGTTGCCTCTCTCTTTACTTGATACTCAGGCACTAGATTCCCCTTCTGCAGATTCACTGAGTCACGTTGCTTATTTTATTTATTTATTTTTTTGAAAAATGCAGGTTGCTTCCAGGGCTTCTGACAAATATTAACTTTGTGTCAATATTTGTCCTTCCTGTCGTGAAATGAGGATTTTCCACCTCATTTCACTTTTGAAAAGAAAAATATGCCGAGGGGGTCCTCTTTGCTTAGGGAAGAAAAAAAAACCACAACAACAACATCTCGTATCCGTTATTTAGAAAAATGAAGGCAGGAGAGTTGGGTTTGGGGGGGCAGGCGGGCTAAGAGTGTTTTTAAAATAGATGTTTTGACTTAAAGGCACATTGAGTCTTTTGCAGGTCTCCTGTCCTTCCTCCATCTCCCAGTGCCAAAAACTAAAATCTAGAAAAAAATGATATATTTAAAATGGAATGCAATACAACAACATTAATGATTTTCCCTTCAGGTTAACACCAACATTTTCCTTCAAGAAGTTTTATCCATTTTGTCATATATTTCACAATTCACAGCATGAGGAAAATAGAGGAGATTGTTGACCAAAACAAAAACAGTAGCTTCAGGGGTTTTTTTTAATCAAAATAAAATAAAAGTCCTGCAAATTTGTTTCCATCTGACTAAATTTGCCCCTTATTATTTTCTAATTTAACTGCAATTATGGCTATGCAAATATAAAAAGGAGTGGGGCATGTGATAGATGGCACACTACTTAGACATTGTGACTAACTGGCCTTGGGCAGCCCAGCACACATCTCTGCGGAAGAAAAAATATTTCTAAGGACTACCTGCCCCCTTTTGACCTGATGATGTCTGATTTTGAGACCAAAAGCTCAAAGTTAAGAATTTAGAAATCTAACAAAAGAGGAAAATGAAATGAATGGGGGGTGGGTGTTGATTTTTTGGGGGCGGGTGGCAGAGAAACTTCTTTGATAGCCTCCTTTTTGTCATTCTGAATTTTCACTGAAAGTCAATTGCAAATTTCATAGCATCAAAGAGCTGGAAGAGACCTCAGGAGGTCAGCACATTCAGCCCCCTGCCAAAGGCAGGATGAATCCCAATTAAATCAACCAACCAAGGCTTTGTCAAGTTGAGACTTAAACACCTCTAGAGACGGAGATTCCACCACCTCCCTAGGTGTTTCACCACCCTCCTAGGCTACGTCTAGACTGGCATGATTTTCCGGAAATGCTTTTAACAGAAAAGTTTTCCGTTAAAAGCATTTTCGGAGAAGAGCATCTAGATTGGCACGGACGCTTTTCCGCAAAAGCACTTTTTTGTGGAAAAGCATCTGTGCCAATATAGACGCACTTTTCCGCAAAATAGCCCCGATCGCCATTTTCGCAATCAGGGCTTTTTTGTGCAAAACAAATCTGAGCTGTCTCCACTGGCCCTTTTGCGCAAAAGTTTTGCGCAAAAGGACTTTTGCCTGAACGGAAGCAGCATAGTATTTCCACAAGAAGCACTGGTTTCTTATAGTAGGAAGTCAGTGCTTTTGCGGAAATTCAAGCGGCCAGTGTAGACAGCTGGCAAGTTTTTCCGGAAAAGCGGCTGATTTTCCGGAAAAAGTTGCCAGTCTAGACACAGCCCTAGTGAAAAAGTTTTCCCTAATATCCAACCTAGACCTCTCTCATTGTAA